CCCCAAAACCCCAAAACCCCAAGACCATTGATTTATTTCAAATTTTGCTTTTAACGATTAAGTATAATTAGAATAAATGTTTATTAGCTTAGTAATATTACAAACTTCCTTTCAGAAGTAATACAATTTGATTATTGATTCTTATAGAGATCATTTTATATAGTCATCATTAAGTGTATTCAAACTCATAGCATCCATTACTGTAATACACATATAATAGCTACTGTTTAAATGATCATCTTTTTAAAGTAGCTTGAGTAGATTTATAGTTTGTTCATATGTTCCAAATCTTTTCTTAGAAGCACTCTCAAACATCAAGTCTATTCCAACCTTTACATTTTGAACTTGAACATCAATTATTTTTCTGATTATATCCTCTTTTTCCCTTATAATTCGAAGATTTTTATCATTAACTTCATGATACTACATAAGGAGTTACATCTTTTAGCTAATCTAATGTCTTTTATATTGGAAAGAGCCCGTTCCAATAGCCAAAGCTACTGAATAACCTGAAACAGGCATACCCATTAGAGTTATAATAGCAGAGCTATAAATTCCCCACCGGCATTTCTCATCTTCTTTTTTTAAACTCACTAATTCATCTTTTATCCCCCATTGTAATTTTTCTAAAGCCATAACTATTTCCTCAATACCTTGGAAAATATCAATCAGTATGAAAAACCATTAATCATACTCTTTTTTCAAAGTGATAAAGTAATGTTTAATTGCAGAAAAATTGCATTGTTACTGTTAAACTTTTTAGTTGACAATCTTCTCAGATTTCTTTGCAAACATTGATATTCGTGGTTAAAGAATCTCAAATTAAGATAATAGAATGTCCAATTACTGCTCACAATGCCTAATAAATCTCAAGTATTTTTAGTAAAATTTTTTGTTTTATATTAGAATTTCTTGCTTATTTAAATCTGAGTCATCTGGTTGATAAGTGAACAAGGGCTCAACTTTTATTTGTGATTTTAATTTCTACCTTTCCTGTTCTATTAACCCAGCTATTTCTTCCCTTTTTACAATATAGAAACCCTCATCTTCTTCCTCATAGAAATCATTGTTATTGCTATCATCTTCATATTCCACATCAAAATCTTGCAATTCTGTTTAAACACAAACCTTTTGCTCATTGTTTGAAGCAACTTTGTTGCTTTAATGTGAGAATGCATGCTTGAATTCATCCTAATACTGGTTATTTCCCTAATGCTCTAACTGCAAATTATCGTAGCATTGCGATTTGAAATCTATGTAGATATTTTCACTTATAATATGAGTCTTAACTTCATCTGGGAATAAATTTTCGTAATTTTTCAGAATTGAATAAGTTTAGCTGAAGTCTTTCAATAAATATAGAATGTTATCTTGCTCAATATATTTAATCTATTAAATATTCATATCTGATTCATCCTTTCTTATTGATTTCAACTCTAAATATCAATTAAGAAATAGAGGTATTATTAATACATATATAATTATCCTGAGTAATGAATTAAGAAGAGGAGTTTTCATCATAGAATGTTTATGCTAATTCATCTAATTCTTTTAATTCTGTCATTTTATTATTAATTTAAGTCATATCTCCCAGTTTATAATTTATTTCGCATCTATTCTTAATAAAGTTTCTCGTGGGGTTTTGGGGTTTTGGGGTTTTGGGG